CGCTCCCCGCAGGTTCCCGCACACCTTCCGTGTGTAGCACCGGGCGGCCGTGGGAGAGCAGCCAAACCGGCTCTGCCTGCGCTGAAAATGCCCGATGCCCAGACTGTATCTCAGACCAACTAAAGCACAACCGCTTGTAGGGACACTTAGACGTTGGCAGTTTTTAAAGCTCCCCAGCTGGTTCCACTGTGCGGGTAGGAGCGAGGAGTGCCACGCCGATGTCCCGGCTGAGGGAATGTCGACCTACTGAGCGCGGGGCCTCTGGGTACGGTTGTCCCGCCAAGGAGACACGCAGTACGTGTGTCATAAGGAGACTGTCAAACGCCTTCCTTCAATGAAGACGTGATATGCATAATGGCATTACTGTGACCTCCCATGCTAGGAATTCAGACAGAAAGGATACTCTGCCATGACTTTGCTCCACCGAAGCTAGACTGATTTCCTGACAATCAGCAATTCTTTTTCCAAACGAGTGTCTCTCAACTGGGGCAATTTTGCCCCCTGGGGGACGTTTAGTAATGTCCGGAAGCATTTTTGGTTGTCACAGCTTGGGGGGGGAGGGGGAGGACATCTAATGAGTGGAGACGAGGGACCAGGGACCTTGCTAAGCATCCTGGAATGTGCAGGACAGGCTCGCACCACACATCACCCAGCCTCAAACATCAACAGAGAGTACTGAGGTTGAGAAAGATTGTTATAAATCTCGAATCCTCCAGGAAAACTCTGGTTCATTAAGACTAACATCACTGGCTTTGTAATTTGTTAGAAAACACAGAACCTGTCATGCTGCCTTCCGTAATCCTCATTGGATCTATTTCCCCATGTGTGGACCCTTCGAAGGGCACTGGGGCTACAGAAGTAGAGGAGTTTCTTCGAGACGCTGACGACGACGACGACAAACTCCCGCAGGCCCCAGTTTGCCGCAGCGCGCGCTCTGTCCCCAAATGACAGGGGGGCGAGGGCTGATGCAATGACACAAACTCTCCTGATGCAGAAGCAAAGGATGGGAAGGGGGAGGGATCACGATTGCTTCCCGGGCCAGGGGACACTCTGGATCTTCCTTAATACCCGCACCTGCAAAATTCCTCAAGGAATGGACCCCAGACTCATGACACATCAGAGTTTTCTTTTTTCTTTTCTTTGAGAGAGAGGGGATGGGGGGGGCGCAAGTGAGCAAGGGGCAGAGAGGGGGAGAGTGAGGATCCCACCAGGGGCTGAGAGAGAGAGAGAGAGAGAGAGAGAGAGAGAGAGAGAGAGAGAGAGAAAGAGAGAGAGAGAAAGAGAGAGAGAGAAAGAGAGAGAGAGAAGAAACATGGGGCTTGTGTTTTTGTTTGTTTTTTTTACCCAAAGTGGGGCTCATGCTGACCTGTTGCGGGGCTCAAACCCACAAACCATGAGATCATGACCTGAGCCAAAGCCAGATGCTTAACTGGCTGAGCCACCCAGACGCCCCCACACGAGGCGTGTTCTGTGAAGATGCATGTCCGGCCTTAACACCCCAAGATTTTCGGGCTCAGTGGTATACCTACATTGATCTCAACCCATCTGTAGATTTAGATTATTGTTCTGAAGTAGAAACACATAAAGACTTAAGGAAAAAGACACAGAAAAAATAATCCGATCTATTGAGGTGCTAATGTTGTAGGTAACTTTCTTTCCTTGATTTTTATTTGTAAAGTTATTAGCAATAAGCAATATTGGCAATATTGTTTACGTAGTAAAAACTGTCCAAACCTCACTAACGTGTCCATGTTAGAAACCATTTTTTATGAGACCTAAGCAAAACCATTTTTACAGTAACATAATAACAACAGAGATTGCTGTGTATATGAGATTATTCAACTGCAACCCTGCTTCTGATATTAAAGGAAAGAATTAAGAATCTGCCCCCATACATCCCCATACAATGAAACAGCATGCGGCCGATTAAAAACAAAACCACCTAGCAGCTCTCTGCAAACTAATGAGCAAAAATGTCCGACACACACTAAGTGGGGAAAAAGCACAGAACAGTGTATACAGTTAGCTACTGTCTGTGTAAAAGGGGGAAAACATATACACAATTTGCTCGTAAAAAGGTACATATTTTGAAGGACATACAAAAATTGATAATACCGGCTGCTTTCCAGGAGAAGAAACAGGTTCCTATGGGGGCAGGAAAAGGGAGAGTGGTGTCTTTGCACTTTTTGAATCTGAACCACTGCTATCATCCAGGCCGAGAGTAAATTTTGTAAAATTAAATCAACAAACCCTTAGTGAATTCTTAAAAGCTAACACACAATTTTCTGCATGAATTATACTACTGTGCATCAAACCGTGTGAGAGCAGGGCTCAAGATAAATAGTTAAAAATAGCGGGTCCTTACCCCAACACCACATCCCAGTCTACCTTCAGACTGTCTGACAAGCCCTTTGGTTTCTCAGACGAATACCTTCCAGGTAACATTTTCTACAGGAAAAAATAACGCTGTGGTAAGCTTCTGGGACTCTTGTTTTTTTCTTCTCTCTGAGACCAAGTTTCCTATCTGTAGGACAAGGGCACTCGAGTGTGTTTTCCAGACACTGCCCCCTCTCGTAATTTAACTTTCACCAAGTTAAGAGCAGTGACAGTCCTGACGTACAGAAGATGAAAGGGCTGTGCGGGTGAAGGCCGAAGCAAGGAACACCGCTTTGGGACTTCCTTTCTCCCAGCGACTAAAGCACAGCACAAAAGTATCTAGGGCTCCAACGATAGCAATAGCTAACATACCACGAACGCCTTCTATAAGTCAGGCACTGTTCTAAGTGCTTTATGTGAATTAACTCATTCTACCTTTACAACAACCCTATGATGTAGGTAATGTGTCCAATTCACAAAGAAAATAGAGTGGCAAGTATGGCAAAAAGGTTAAAAGCAGGGACCCCAGAATCTAAGTGATGAAATCTGAATCCCAGCTCTCCTACTTAACAGCTGTGTGACCTTGAGCAACTTAAACTTTGTGCATCTGTTCCCCCATTTCTAAAACGGAGAAGACCTTCTAGAAGGTAGTATGGAAATCTACACTGTGTTATGAAGTCTCTACCCAAGCTTCACAGCCAAGGAGAAGAACTGGGCTTTGCACCCATGCAGCCTGGAGGGTCAACTTCCAGTTTGCTAAAAGGCAATCCATCACCTGAAGCATGAGTTTAAAATCTCAGTACCCCCACCCCCCAAATTTCAGAGTTCTTCCCTTTTTAAACAGAAAATGATTTACAGACTATTATGCTTATATAGCACTGACTCTTAACTTGTCAAATGTGAAGTCAATCATGATGACATTCCAGTTAAGTTTTATCTTTAAATTTTTAACACTTGAAACCTTATTTTAAAGTATATAGTGAAGAAGTTTTCCTGCTTGTCTACGTTTATTTATTTTTCAGAGATAGAGATAGTGTGAGCAGGGGAGGGGCAGAGAGAGAGGGAGACACAGAATGGGAAGCAGGCTCCAGGTTCTGAGCTGTCAGCACAGAGTCCGACACAGGGCTCGAACCCAGGAACTCAAGCCGGATGCTTAACCGACTGAGTCCCCCAGGCGCCCCTCCTGCTCACGTAAACTGCATTTAGCCAACAGCGCAGCAAGGAAGCAGCATGAAATAAACGTTTACTTACTTCTGTTCCAGTAGGCGAATCTGAAGAGCTTAGCTAAGACAGCTGCTGTGCAGCACCAGCCTAGAACCCAGCTGCCCACCTAAGCTCGAGGACTGTCCCCAGAAACAGAGAAGCAGGGAGATACTGGAAATGTAGGCAGCTTTGTCCAGTGCCCGTCACTTTGCTTAGGGCACAGTTTCAGGTGAGCCACACCCTCATTTGCATTAAAGGGTAAATCCACAATCCAAGGAGGTCTTCTGGAGCTTAATCACGATTTGGCTCCCAACCCTTTCCGTAGGAGCTTCCTACTGCTGCTGTGACAAATCTCCACAAATTTAGTGGCATAAAACAACACATCTGTCACCTCAGAGTTCTGTGGGTTAGAAGTCCAAAAGCCAAGCGTGTGGAGGGTTGTGTTCCTTCCGGGGGCTCCAGTTCAGAGAGGCTGCTCTTCCATCTTCAAAGCTGCGACAGCTGGCCAAGCCTTTGTCACAGAGCAGCATGCAGACATTGACCCTACTGTGTCCCCCTGCCATCTTTTCCGAACTCTTGTAATTACGGCGGGCCTACCGGATAATCCAGGATAATCTCCCTGTTTCAAGGTTAGCTGATTAGCAAACTTAATTCCCTCTCGCCACATAACAAACATATCCATGGGTTCCAGGGACTGGGATGTGGGCATCTTTGGGGGAACCGTTATTCTGTCTTCCATACCTTCCTTGGTTCAAGGAACTCAGGTTTCCTTCGTTCAAAAAGGTCATTTGACTGAACACCTGACATATCTTGGTAGGCACTGGGGCATACACAAGTAACGGAGTACTGTCTTGTCGATACTTAGCTGACAATTCATGAAAGCAACATGAAGGCAGACACCGTAAGTAACTTTCCTCGCGCACTGGTGTCGGGGAATAACATTAAGTACCTTTTCTTGGTAGAATATGTAATTATGTCGGTGATGACAAATGTTTACTGCAAAGACAATGTGGTATAATGAAAAGGTCTTTTTTGTGGTTGTTGTTTTGGCTTTTGTAAAATTTAGGCTTCGGGCCCAGCACGGAGCCCAAGGCAGGGCCTTGAACTCACGACCCTGAGATCGAGACCTGAGCTGAGATCAAGAGTCCCTGAAAAAGGTTTTTTTTTTTTTAAATTTTTTTTTCAACGTTTATTTATTTTTGGGACAGAGAGAGACAGAGCATGAACGGGGGAGGAGCAGAGAGAGAGGGAGACACAGAATCGGAAACAGGCTCCAGGCTCTGAGCCATCAGCCCAGAGCCTGACGCGGGGCTCGAACTCACGGACCGCGAGATCGTGACCTGGCTGAAGTCGGACGCTTAACCGACTGCGCCACCCAGGCGCCCCCCTGAAAAAGGTTTTTAAGACAGGCGGAGTGAAACCTAAAGGTTAAGTTACTAGACTTCTCTGAGCCTCAGGCTTCTCATCTATAAAATGGGGGTTAAGATGATCTATCTCAAAGTGCTGTTTAAGAAGCGGGAGCACGTGTTCTCCCTACATGGAATCCCACAAACGCTCACTCTTCTGCTCCAGAGACTTTTCGTTTTGAACATTCTTTCAACAGTTCCATGACTCACTTAGTACTAGGGCTATAAAATACAAAAGAAGTGTTAGGCCTCCTCCCAGCCATCAAATTTAAAATGTTGGCAGGGTAACACATTTGCATATGTGACACAATTAAGGAAAGATCAAAGTACACCTGAATGGGTTCCCCGAGATAGGACTTCAGGTGGTTAGGAAAGTCTAGTATATAGCGAGGTAATGAAAGCCGATTTCCTCTTTACTTGGAGAAAAAAAAAAAAAAAAAAAAAAAAAAAAAAAAAAAAAAGCAAACAAAACCCAACCCATACACTGAAATGTAGCAAGGGGGAAATCTAGCAGAGTGATTTTCACAGGGGTCCCTAGGTCCCTGCAAGTCCACGCACGTGGAGCGAAGGGGAACCCAGGTGATCCCTCCCCTAATCGATTCTGCTTTACCCTATGGAGGAGACTAAGAACTCCCAGAGTAGGCACACTTTGGGTTTTCAAAGTCAGTCAATCCATAGTTCTCCCCGGTTCAATCATTAAGAAAAAGTAAACGCTGGCGCAGAAGTCTGAGGAGTGTGTCAGGCCTCGTTTTGCCTTGTTTTATTAAGGACGCGAGGGGACAGGACACACACTGCCCGCTACACCCCCAAACCTGACCTACATCGCCAGGGCCGTGAACGGTAGCGGAAGGCTCTCCACCTGCCCTGTGCCCAGGAGCTAATCCCACCTCACGTATAGTCTTCTAGTTCAGACGCCAACGCCGAAGGCCGACTTGGAGTCCACTAATCTTTACGTCCAGGCTTTCCTTTCTTTTTGATAACGAAGAAAAACTACTTTCTGAAGGACGCGGCGGACAGGGGGGATCGAGTCCGGCACTGAACCAGAAGGACGCAGTTTCGTCATTCTCCACCCTCCAGCTGCCTATCGAGGGTGAGGATGCATCGTCCACCCGAGAGGAAAGCGTAAAAGCGCCCCGGAACCTCAAGCGTACGGACGGCGCCGTGAAACCCAAGAAATCCAGCCCGGCTTTAGAAAGAAAAACACAAAGAGAGCCAGGCGACCGCGGCGCG